AATAAAAATATATTCATTTCTGAGGCATAATGTGTGCCTTTAACCTTTAAATGTAAGTGTAGAGTAAATCTATCTAGTATATAAGTAAACATTTAATTACAGGAATATTGCTTTTAATTGATTACTAGTTGTATGAATATTTATGTTTATTCCATGCTTAGATATGTTATGTCCTATGAACACATTTCATCAAACATGTTTGTGATTTAATCATTCAAAGATAATGTAAGATTAAATCCATCTAGTACATTTGTAAACCTTTAATTACATGTACAGGAAAACACATTTATTTTGGCCATGTTTATGCTTAAACAATTCTATTTGAAGTTGAAATAAGTTCATGCTGGTGAATATGTCAATTGTACATATACATATATATTACACATGGCTGTTTAAAACTTGAAATGTTTATTCAGTATATGATCTTCTCATAGAAGCTTCATTGAGAGCATTGTTATTCTTCTGTTTTTGTTATTAATGTAGTACTTAAAAAAAAATAAAACATGTTTGTTTGATCGGTTTTTATAGCATGAATGAATGAAATAGCACTTGTCTTAATAAAAAATTGTACAACATTGATTTGTTAATTATTTGTTTTTCCTTCAGTTACAGAACAAGTTGAGGGTATAAAACTTGTTAAAATTTATTTCCCACTATTTCCATATATAGCAAAGACTAAGCTGCCAGTACGTAACGTTCGTAAAATATATGCACTGTACTAGGAATGAAACATTGAGACTGGTGTAATAACGTGTAAGATAATTGTTAGAAACATTGTTAGCAACATCGACAAGTCTGCAAAATGCATAAACACATGATATAGACAAGGTGTTAGAGTTATATGATGTCACATATGACTTTATACAAATTCTTTCAATTTGTAAATAAATTGTTACTGCGGGTATTTCCCCTTATAGTATATACAATAAAGCAGCATGTTATTCTTTGATCCGGGTGCATTATCACAGTTTCTATAGCTTTCGCAGAAGTGGTGGATCAATCGCAGCTGCGCGCAAAAGCGGTGGATAAAATATGGCCGTTTGCTTTTGCCGGTAAGTTTATGACTGAATTTTGTTTTGTGTTCATGTTTTACGGTAAACACCTAGTGTGACTGGAGACCACATATGTACCCTTCCAACTTATGACACGCAAACGATGTAGTTCATTGCCATTTATGCAAACAATTCTGTACAGTTGACGAGGGGACGCCACCTTTGTCAAATTTTGGTTTAAACATGTACAAATGTGTGCAAAACGACCCCTTAAAATACACCGGTATAGCACCGTATGAATAATTCTTACACAAAACAACCATATTTGGATTTTTTGAAATTGTTATAGTCGTCTGTTTATAAAACAAATGACATAAAACGATTTCAACGCAGACGGCGGTGGATTTGATTGAAATGCAGTGCGGAGGGCCCGATACAATTATTTCAATGTGAGGATTTAACTTGACATATATCTCACCTTTCAGTCGAGTACAACTTTTTTCATTCTTTGACCCCAGGGTAAAAATGTGTTTATTTAATGTTTAAAACTATAATCATTATATGTATAAAAAGATGCTCGAGTTCCGCTTCCTATTCCTCAATCGAAAACTCATGTGGCAGGTACTATCATAGAATTAATACTCCCATTTCAACAAACTATTTTGTTTTATTACTGATGTTTTGTGTATGTGATTGAGTTCGTTCTTATCAAATAATTCACCATTCGACTTAAAAATTCGCAGTAAAATAAGAACAAACATGTATATAGTGCCCTTTATCTTAATCTTAATTTTTCTTTTATATATCATGCATTTAACAGCCCGGACCTAAGAACCAATGAATGCCTGGCGGAAACTAGGAGTCAAGACATCGATCATAATTTAAAATAGACATTTATCAACAATGCCAGGGATACAGCAAATATCTGTGCCTGTGGTGTAAATTCTTTATTGCATAAGCGAAATACAAGGTTACGGGTCTAGGTTGTTCTACATCAGACTTCTATTACTCCAAAGTAAACAGATATCATACCAAAGCGGCCTTAGTTAATAGAACAAATTACAGTTAACGACAGCTACATGTATTTAAGAGTCATCCGCACATGACGCAACTAAATTACAGATCATATGGCCGTATATAAACAGTTGTTTTGAAATATAATATATAAATATTTTTTATTTATTAATAAACAGCAGTCGTGTATATAAAACGTTTGTAACGTTGCTTTTCGTTGGATAGTCGTGTCGTTTATTTACCATCCATCCATATAACTGTTTCTTACGGCGAATTTATATTAAATCTTGCTCTGTGAAATGTTTAAAAAGTTGTGTATTTCACGGGAGGAAAATAATTGTGTTTGATTCAGAGGGATATCATTTGGATTTGTTAGTCATACATCTTTTAAGAAGAAAGAAAACTTATTTGAGGATTGTTACAGACAATAAATAAGTGTTGACAGATGTGTAAACATTCAAAAAGCGGCTAGGAAATTGGAAAACATGGAATTTTTGAAAGGCTGCCTTACGAACGCTGGGTTGTTTACTTATTCTTCGGGCTGATGTCTGTCATTGCTTTTCAAGTTATTAGGCAGTTATTGCTCGTAGGATACTTAAATATGCCCAAATGTCATCAAGAGCAGTTTTGCATGTGGAAGGAATTGTATTTTTCAGACTGTAAAAATGAAACAAAAATTTAGAGACGATATTTGGTGATTGGTAATTTGAATGAATTGAAGTAAGTTTTCTTCTTTTTATTACTTTTGAAATTTCAGTTATTTATCAATTTCAGCTTTGCTTTTCTCTAAACAGCCTTGACAATGTCAGAATTGCCAACAATAATAAAATTGAGGTACCACATGGGAAAAAAAATCTTAAAAATTAGTCTCGTCATTGAAAAGTGTGAAATTAAATGTTGATAATTTTCACTTTGAAATTATCAAACATAATTTTCACGGATAAATCAGTAATCCACTGAAACGCATAAAATAAATACGTTTAAGCTTCTTGTTATAGATTATTCATAAATCCATTTACGTTGATGTATAGATTATTTTAGTTTATGTTTAAGCTCTATTTATGTTCATTTAATTTAAAATTTAATCTCCATTTATGTTCATTTATAGATAATTCAAGAATTTAAGCTCTATTTATGTTTATTTGCACACTTGAATGGATTTTTTTTAATAAGCCATTTTTTTCTGAAAAACTATCTAAATGTAAATAAATGTATGGAAAAAAATTGACAAAACTAAAAATATATAGAAGAACTCAAGAGGATGACAATTTCCACAAACGCCTGTTAATTCCCTTCCTGTGGCGTCGTTTTTGAATATCATTTGCTTGCTTCTTTTGCAAAATATGGGAAATGGCATACACAAACAGAAATGTATCCTTTAACCGTAACTAATCAATTGAAAACTGAAATGTTACGATTTATTTATGCAGTTGAAGTGTCAGCTCTAGGAACTCGGACACGAAGTCGTAAAAATTAGTCATAAACATGTTTAATTTAAAGGCTAAAACTCTAATATTATCTGGGTAACATCACCAAACAGAACTTAATTCAAAAATATTAATTTAAACAACGAATGCAAACACTGTCAGCTGAGAAAAGCTCTTCAAGAGTTAAATTCGCGTAAATTCAACTTGTCTAAAACAAATATGTTTGGGGGATGATTTCGTTTCATATATACCTCCACATATAAAAGATATTAAGAAAAAAGAAGAAAATTAAGAAAAAAATAATATAAAAATAATTCCATCCGAGAATGTTCCGTGCCCCTTTGGTAATTCATAGGTTTAAGCTCATTCTATGTTTATTGATATTTGAAAGCTCCATAAGAGATAAATGTATTTATCTCTTTAAACTTCATTAATAATTATATACAAATTCAATCTCAAATTATATTTACTAAAATGTTTAAGATTCGATGATTTTATCTATATAGAGGTAAGATCAGGATAAATTCATTTTAAGGTTCAAGCTCCGATGCATTGCCCGACGAGCATGACAATCGTCTCGGGCACTTCCGGTTTTCCCTTGAAAGGCAGGACTTCAATACGAGGCTGCTGCAGTCAGGGACTGTATTCAAAAAGGTAATTATTCAAACATTGAAAGTATCCGCAAAAGCATTTATGTAGCCTAAAATGCTAGCGTTAACCGGAAAGATAATTTGAAACTTTTAGTGTCTCCGAAAAAAGTAAAATTTATATCAAAACAATAAATATATCAGATGCTCAGTCTCAAAACCTCAGTATTAAAATGAAAAAGTAAAGAGGACTTAGTTTGTATATCCATTCCAGATTTTTAAAGTGCATTATAAAACAATCTGATACAAATTGTAATGTAAGTTTTCAAATTGCGCGCACATGTGCTTATGTCTGGGTTTGTTTACCCTGAAAAGGGGGAAAATGATATTAACACAATTATCGTAATGTCATTACAACAAATTCGCATTATTGGACATTTTCAAGGAATGAAAAATTAATATTGTTTGCTTCGAATAAGTCAATCGATAATACAATATATAAACTAATATAAACTACCGTTGTTGCGAATGATTAGAATGAATAGACTTTTTATAAGTCGTCTTAGTCTGGCATGTAGACTGTATAATATGTAAGTATACTAGTATGTAATTTTATGTTTTCGAATCAGATATTAAAACTGGCGCTCTTGAAATTGTTTAAAGAGCCAACATATCTCCTTTGTGTATGTAAATAGTTGGGTTGTTTTTGGCTAATCAGTATATCTGCTGCATTCTGGTAGCAAGTACTTGTGACGTCATCAGTCAACACGTCTATTGCAGGTGTAATGGAAAGTGATAACTACACCCATGCTGAGATTGAAATAGTACATCAGATAATGGACGAAGTCCGGAAACAGATTGGAATGAAATATCCTGACTTTGACTAGAATTATTATCTTCCTCTTAAAAGATATATGAAGGTACACTACATATATGTCGGTCAAGGTGCACGTGCTAGTGGATATTGAATTTTGTGCTGTTTTCTTATGATTGGAATAGAAATATAACACGAAAGATAATTTAATATATTGTATACATTTTTTTCTTTTTTGTTAATATATATGTATATTATGCTCAGATACAGAGGGGATGTGTTGCAGGGAGTCATGACCTCTTGGGATTCGCCCGTTGATATCAGCTTAAAAAAAATCAACGAAAATTAAAACACATTGACATATGACCCCTTTTAAATCATTTGTATTAAATGTCAATCCTTGTTTGGAATATGCTGTACTCCTTGTCGAATATTTCTTTCAAACCTGGGTGAAAATATCTAATTTCAAACTAACTTCTTCATATGCACAGCAAAATTCAACCAATTTGTGAATACATATTGATTTTATCAGGATTCTTACTAATTATTGTTAGCAATAAAAGTTCAATTATATGATTTTCAATGCCAAGTAGTCATTTAACGTTTAAACTGTATTTCGCCGATAACGGGACTCTGTTGAAAAAAAAACCCGCCGGTCTGGGCTATTACTGCTGTTCCTGTAATGATATGTACCACTATCTTGCTGATCACTGTCGTTAGCGAATGAACTATTTATAGACCTAAAACGCGAGCCACTGTCAATCGAACTCGGCTGTAGAACTAGATAACCTTTATAATGGTCGGAGTCGGGGTAGTCCGGCTGCGGCTCATGACTCACTCTTTTTTGTGTAAATTGCCGTTAAATAACCATCATTTCCTATAAAAAAAATGTTGTTGTTGTTTAAAACAAAAAGGCACTTTTACAAAAAAATACTAAGCGCTAGCGTTTGAATGGTTAAACTTACATCATAAGTCACATCAGAATTAAGGGACGAAATGTATACACAACACAAATGGCAACGAATGTAACAAGTAGATAAAGCAGATAAACTGCTCTGGAGGCGACATTGGTTTCTTACGTTATGTATTGTTTGTGGCTGAGCAGCCCTTAACTAGCCTTAACCATGTGACCACAAATTCGCTCAATTCAATTATAATTCCCTGATACCTGTATGCTTAATGATGTTCTTATTGGCTATTCAAGCACTGAGAGAACGGATTCCGGACACGTTGCCTTTCATGTTCTTAAAAGTTATATTCTGCCAAAGGTAACCTATAAAGTTTGATGTTTGTTCCTGAGTTTGTACTTGATCGAGGTCAGTGTGCTAAATAGTTAATAAAACATAAACACAAATATTTTACCTGATGGCCATTTGCTATATCTACCACTAACTGAACTACCTCTTCTCTCTCCTTGCATGTTGTTATCATATTCGACAACGTTAACATTATCAGCACCTATCATACCAGCCTCATTCAAATTATGATATACTTCCGGCTGAGATATTCTTTCTTCTGAACTAAATTTATACATTCAATAGAAATGTTTCAATATAAATATAACTATGTGGAATCAAGTACACTTAATTAGAATTGGTTATCTCTAACTTTTGGGAATAGTAAGGAAAATATAAAAGTAAAATAACTGCACTGCAAGTTAGACCTACTTTGGTATCTAAAAGAAAACCGTCGCATTGATCTGTCAGAGCAAAGACATGCGGAAAGTAAATAGTTTCCTTTGCAGTGCAGAAGCAGACAAAAATTCCTTTTTTCAAGATATCAAACATACTGTCCCGCTGGTTGTCAACAATAAACTAATGAATAACTTTTTCTCAACTGATCCATTGAATTTGACTAGAACAAAATACACAAAACGAGAAAAAGATGAATCAACTCGTGAAAAAAGTCAAATCAAAGGTGTTTTCGAAGGCAGTACTGGACAATAAAACAAAGACAAAAATATGTCATGTTACTAATATGTATGTAACAAAACTTAAAAATTGTTTATCATTCTGGAGTCTTTTACTTATTCTATTTTATTAAACAGTTATCCCTAAACATACGTTGGAGGGTCCGGACTAAGTATATCATCGGCTGTTGCATATCCACTGTTACGACCATACGTCTCGTATGTATAAGGATTGCCTTGAACATTATTATGACCTGTTCCGTTTTGCTTTCTGAAATAATTTGATGCATACACATTTTGTATTTGGTAATTATAATTCAAAGTGTATAAATAGTCATTAAACAACTTTTCCTTTAAGACCAATCACTTGCATGTGTAAAACACTACAAAAAAATCAACAATGAGAAAATTTGCAGTACCTGATAATGTGTTAACTTTTTACATAACTTTTGTATGTTTGTTGTTTTGCTTCATAGAATACATGTATACTTTGTACATAAAAGAATGAGAATACACATATTGTATCATTTGTACTAGAACCCTTACACTAAGACCATGTCAATTTTTGACAATTCCGAGCATGACACCCATTTTCGCGTGGATATTTTGTCTCAGTCAGACAAATTACACAATCAAATATAGACGAAACGATATAGAGAAGATATTATCTTGCCGCTGCCGAGGTAAAGACCATATATAGACAAGCCTACAGACCTACACAGATTTTATACAATTTTAATTGTAGAATTTTCAAAACATTACTCCAGCAATGGGTAGTCAAAGTTCAAATTACAAAACGAATTAAGCATAACAAGTCTCAACTTCTGTTAACTTGAAACCAATCAATGTGTATCAAAGCTTACAATGACTCTATATATACGGTGTTCAATCACGATCACATCAACTGAATTGTGTATATGCTACAAAATTAGGCTATGGAAAACAATATGCTTTTGTAAAAATATGCACTGAAATTGAACCATGCCAAACTGGCATGACTGAACAAACCTTTTATTCCTACGGCGACACAAAAACACAGAGGCAACCCCAACAATAACAAGAAACACAACACCCCCAACGCCGATGGCTATGTAGATCACATAAGATTGCTTGCCATCCTCCTCTACAATTTCCACTGGAAACGTCACTGTAATATATATTGGTAGGGTGACAATTACCCTAAATAGCCTATTTATAGGTGCTACCCGGACCCATTTTTTAACAAGACATGCTATATACCAAAAAGTTCCTAAAAATTTTTTGTTTCCAAATCTTTCCGGGGATAAAAAAGCTGGGGGAACAGAGAAAAAAGGATGGCTTCCAAGATTGGCCACCACAATTTTTGAATTTAAACCCCTTAGTCAAAAAAAAAATGTTTGGGCCCTTTTTTTCAAAACCCCATAAAAGGACTTTATGTCAGGGAATTTTGTTTATTAGTCTAAATTTTTTTTGAAAAAAAGTTTTGGGGTTAAAGGTCAAAAAACATAAAAAAAGTGTTTAAAAATCTAAATTTAAAAATGTCTAGCCCCAATTTAACCATGTTTTTTAGCATTCACATAAAAAAAATTTTAATACAAAAATATCGTTAATTATTTTTTTATTCTTATTTAAAAAGGAAAATTTTTTAAAAAAGTACTATGCCGTTGAGTGTTTTCATTCTATTTTATTTTTTGAAAACAATGTGTATTTCTGAGTGGGTGGAGTAAAATAACAAACATCCTAATCACAAATTAATTCTAAGTATCTTTATAAGTAACTTTACATGTATTCTTTATTAAACGGCTTTGTTAAACCCTATTTATTTTAACAAATCTTTTTGTAATCAAAATCGTTGGTGAAACAGTGATAATATTTATTATTTGTTTTTTGTTGTTTTTTGCTTCTGCCTGAAATTTCAAAATGTGTTATGTACCCAACCCACTCAGTTATTTGAAAGCTTCGGGAATATATGTAGTAACTCATCAAGGAAAGTGTACATGTTTAAATAAGTTTTCATATTTAATAAATTAGGCAAGACATATATCATATGATTATAAAAACTTTTTTATAAATAATAGGTTATTGTCTTTCATGTGGTTTATATAAAATAATAACAATTAAAAAACATAAAACTATTTTTTCTTACAAAAACTTTATGATTTTCATTACATTGTTATTTTACCGACCAACATAGAAAATACAAATTTTCTCAAAGGAAAAAGAAACAATCAAATGAAAAACTTAAATGACACATTTCTTACATACGTGATGGTTTCTTGCTAAAAAAACTTATTAGCAAATTACCTTATCACATGGAAAACTTTTCGGACATTTTTAAATATTAGCAATTATTCGTAATTTTTCAACTCAATCGTCAGCGTTTGTCTGTTAGAAGATGTTTTTACATTAAAAATAAATACTTAAATTGTATGTGTGACATGTATTTGATACAAATGCATCTGTTTTAACAGCTTGAAATTAAGTATTAGTAAACAAATTGTAATTTTCATATTTTTCGTGACCATCTTGGACACCATCTTGAATTTCTCTGTTCGCCACGATTTATGCCACTTTATGCCGGCAGTTTTGAAAACTACGAATATATTGAAAAAGTTTGGTTTATGACACGCCTTGTTAAAAATGACTCCGGGTTCAAGTTTCTGAATAGCTTGATTGTGTCACCCTACCAATCTTTTTCTAGATACTATTATATTGACAGGTCAGTTTGTCTTGTTTTAAGTTAACCCCTTTACTACATGTACACCTTTTGCTTCTGCCGATAGGTAGACAATGATTACTACAACCTCCGTTACAGTCTCTACATAGACCATGTCCTTACAAAGTAGAATGTAGTTGATAAATCAAAAGAATTGCCTGAAGATCTAACAACAGTAGTGTCAGGTCCAGGTTTACACACGTTTAAGGCTATGTTTAAAAATGATACAATGTATTTAGTATGGTATTTATAATAGCATCGTATCTGGAAAAAGGTTAAGTATGTTATTTTCTAATTCAAATCATGATATAACAAATAGTAGATCGATCATATTATCTTTTTTCTGTTCATGATTTAGAAAACACCTAATGTGGAATATTTAAAATTTATGGATAACACAAAAAACTGAATAAATAATATATCAACCAAAACACAAGACATAAATGTCATAACCGTGAGCCAATGAAATCGATATATTCTTTTTTTTTTAATCTATCTTGAATGCATGATTTTGTTTTCGTTTTTCTACCTGCAATATTTTTAAAGAGCCGCTGATTTCTTCAGCAAATTAATAACATTTAGGATTTTATTACGATATTTTTGTATTATATAATCATGATTTATATTGCGATATGAATACAGGACAGAACGTAATTGTATACCAGTCTTCTTGTATATACATTCTTAATCTGCATAAATATCAGATGATAATAGAATAAAGGTATTTTTAACAAATTTATTCATTTTACCTGTCACAGACTTTCTAGATATGAAGAAGTTGTCAAGGGATCCGAACAAAGGTGACTCAAATACATCACTCTGCTGCAAGCCATTGATTTTGTTAATTTGTACGATCTTCCTGCAAATAAAAAATGACCCAGTGTAACAATGGTTATATTTTTATTCACCTTCGGATTTGATTCTGAAAGAATATTAACATTGTCTGACAATCACTTGAAGAAGGGTCTCCAATTCATAATAATTATTTTGATTTGCATTAAATTTCTGTCAAACCAATCTTTATTCCATTTGAAATGATGACTGAAACGTATATACGAGTGTTGTCTTTGCTTATTCCCTTCGACATCAAAATACACACTTTATAACTTTTAACAACACATACAAAATCTGACTAACCGAGCATAGCATTGCATGTTTAAAAAAAGTAACATGTTTAATGCTATTTAAAGTTCAATGTTCTAGTAATTACCATTCTATTGTTTACCTCTGTTGCATTGGGACTAAATATATAACATCAGAAAATATTTCTATGGCAACCGGCCTTAAGCCACGCCCAATGTAAACAATTGTAGTTGCTAAAGATTGTGTGTCAATTTTCTCGATTTTGTCCAAAACACTGTCACACCAATATAACCCTCTGTCTGGAATAAAAAAAATGTTTATGTTGTCTTCTAAAGAAATGTTTGCTATTAATACGTTACTATCATGTAATGTATTAACCTCTTAACAAAATCTCGCTAAGCCTAATAAGTACAACCATGCACAATAATATCTCATTATCAGATATACACTCAATATTGCTACCTTGGACTTGTTATACAGTAGAATTAAGAAAATCGGAAGTTCTCAAGAACGACCAAAAGGAAAATTAAGTATATTAGTCATGAAAATGTACGAGACAAGCACATTGCAAAAGAATTGTAATACAAAGAAGACGTTACACAATGGTTCGAGTAAATTTTTAACACAATTTTCAGTGTTGTTTTCTTTTTTCTGGTCCTTCGGGATTATTGCTTGGAGTGGTGAACATTGAAAATCGCTTCAGCCGACGCTAGGGGCGTGGAGGATGTTGCACGAATAGACTAAATCAAACAGTCTACAACGTTCATTTAATTGTGTTGTTTTCATTATTTCTGGGTAACCAAACTATTCCGGTTTCGCGGTGATTTTAATGAGAGATCTAGTAAGACAAGTATGCACATGAATATAACTATCAGTCATTGTGAGCAGATTCTTGCTTTCCAAATTTCCTGATGTCTTCAAAGGTCAAAGTGCAATGCAAACATTTCGATCACATTAAAGTTACATTTAATTAATTTCATAAAAACATCAATAACGACAGTTCATTAATACATTGGGTTTCATATCGAATCCAGATCTTATTTTGGTGTCCGGACAACCAAAAAGAGTTTTATGGGCATACAAATGTGCAACCTCATTGTGGCGAATTCGGAAGAACAATTTCTGTTTGCATGAGAAACTCCGCCTTCAGATCATCCGACTATCAATGTTTAATCAACAAACATGACTATAAGTAGCAGTCCTAATTTAACGGTATATTTCCGCATTGTAACGGATATTTTCATACAAGTTTAAACATTTTTATGAAATGATTATTTTTTTCTGAACCCCAGGCCTAGTGCACCGTGAAGCTTAAACGGTTAAAGTGTGTTTGCAAGAGAAAATCTTAATTTTGTTATGTTCCGGATAGCAACTATAACACCGTGACGTAGCGCATACACGAGATGATTATAGTCTTTATTATCATGTTAAAATTCGTATACGAACTTACCGTGGGGTTTTCCATTTTAAATCCTAATTTATGAACACTATTTGATAAGATTTACAACGATACTGTAAAAAAGGTAATTGAAACTGTTGAAGGATTTTAGGCCGACAGCAAAATACTTTAACATATTTATTCAATGTAGCTTTAATGTTACAGTATAAAGCATAATTTATTAAAGTTTCGCATTTTATTTGATATTTTCTATTCTTTTGATAAGCACTGAATTTTAAAGCAATTTCTTACCATCATCTAAGTCAAAAGCTATATCCTCAGGTTTCTCCATGGACTGTACTGTAATTGGACGAACGTTTGACCCGTCCATATTTGCAATGACAATGCGTGTATTGCCTTCGTACCAAGCAATTGACCTTGAAAAAAATACAATCAAGTAAAGATTTAACTAGGCGTGTTGCACTGTAAATCTTTTCAAAATATTTCCTTTATAAATGTACATCTGGAAATAAGTTGAGGAAATTCAAATTGGTTGTGATTGAAAGCACTGTCATGAGATGACTACTTAATTTAGCTCAAAAATGTATTTGATAAGTAGCGATATCAATTTAGTAATCATAAACCAGTAAGTTTATGAGTTTAGTTTAATGTTAACAAAATTATTGAAGCAAATTAAAGCAAGTGTGTTGGGTTTTTATTAACCAAAAATGTAAGTGTATGGTGTTGGAACGTTTACAAAACATATACTGGTGGATATTTTTGGTAAATATTGACGATTACGTAACCTTAAATGATAATATGATATATTATGTAGCAAAATTTGTAATAACGTGTGTAACCGTCATGTGCCTGGATGATAGCCTCAACACTTTTCCTGTCAGTAAGGCGTCTAATGCCATTTTTGGTGCAGAACTTGTTCCAGTTTTTACAGATTGACAACAGGTAGTTCGTGCCATTGTCCAAATAGGATTTAAAATTTCAGCTGTGGTCATGTCAAAATTAAGGCAAAATGTCGGGTATGCCTAACTTATTTCCAGGTGTATATATAGAAATGTATAAAATAGAAATGAGAACAAATATCAATATGGCAAAGTGACGTCCACAGAACGTAGTCCCCAACGCAACCCAGTCACACTAGCAGGGTACAAAGAAGGCATTGGACTAAAACAGGAGAGGTGACAAAGGCCGAAACTTAAAGTGCTGAAACTAAATGGACAAGATTAGGGTGCAAGGAAAATGGATTTGGGCACAAAAATAGGATATGAGCGGAATGGTCAGGAGATACACAACGCCAAAAACAACTCAACAAGACAGGCCATCCCAGTTCGTGACAACATGTTATACATGTTAAAACACAAACATGTGGAACACAGAGCGGTACCGTCTTGGAACTGTCAGTGGTAATTACACTACTGAGGAGTTTAAATTTTTTTCGGGCCCTAACAATTAGAATGACCCCATTTATTCTCCCCGTCCAAATGATCAGTATGGGTCTGAAAACTATCCGATACTGACCTTATAAATTCTATTGTGCATATACATATTGCAGAATTAAATATACATATTCATAATTGACAATAATTTATCATTTCAAAAGAGTGGAATATGGTCGTACCCTTTTTATTGGATAAAGAAGCGAAAAAAGATAGATGATTGGGATTGGGAGTGTTTGCACCACGGTAAATGAGTCGTTTATAGGGTTAGAAATGATAGCCAGGTTTTATTGAATATTTCTTCAGGAGTTTAACACAGTTGGAGGCACGTAATACCTCATTCTTAGCTCCAATATGTTCTTTATGACGAGAAGAAGTGTAAATTAAATGAATCCCAAACAAGTGTAATTTAACAATTGTCATAGTTACAATAGTGTATAGTCAAACATGTTCCACAAAGGCTAGTTCAAAGTGCATGACAAGGGATAATTATGAAATGAACAGAAAATCACACATAGTAAAATAATGTTTGATTTAGTGCAATGTACCCAAAATCGAATGAAAAAAAATATAATAAAAATATCCAAAAGAACATTCAAAAAGGCAATTTTGAAACTGCTGAGTCTGTTCATAGACGATAGTGGTACTGAACGTGCCAGCATACACCGTCTTAGACAAAATTCAGAAAGAATATAAATGTATGCTGGACGTTTCATAAACTGTTTTTCCTCGTCCTTTCTAGAATGGGTCGATCTGCATTCATATTCGCGTAAACCTTTGTTCAATTGGTTAACCTGAACCTGATCCATTTATTTGATAACTCAATGGTATTTTTTGAATTAAGTTTTAAAAATACGGAATATTAAATGACACAAAGCCTCCATGTAAAATCTAATGATTGACTTCGAAAATTAAGACTAGGGTTACAGAACCTTAGAAATGAAGGAAATACTAGACTGGTATAAACTAGAAAATTCCAAACGAATAGTTTGAATAAAGTATGTCTTGTTTCTTGGGAGAATAATGTTTTAAAATTTAACTTCTTAAAAGTTGAAAATTTGATTACCCAGATTGAGGCATTACAGCAATTTTTCCAATGTTGGAAATTATATTTGTTGAATCAACTATCGTCAGTGAATTAAGAGAAGGGCTGACTACGGATATCTTCTGTCCAGATGAGATATATATGTTTCCAGTAGATACATCTACTGCTATAGCAGCATTATTATCAACACCTGCAATTGTAAAACAGCGTGTTGTTAAAGTATATTATACCATACAAAAGAATCAGCAAAACGACCACAATGATTTACAGATAAAGTGTATGCTGACTAGGGACAGGGAGAAAAGTGGTAAATAAATGAATTGATATTGCTGACTTTATCTCTTTCTTAGTTGGTACATTACTTACATATACGCCCCTTACACATTTACTTGAGAGGAGAAACAGAAATGAATAAAAAACAACAAGGGAGAGCACAGTTCACGAAATGCCGTCCGTTTAGCTCAATAGGTAGAGCGTTGGACAGTAAATCGGGGACCCTGGTTCGATTCTACGGTCATTCGCACTGTACCTCTGCTCTGGTATGTACAGAAGTTTCAGGTTCTTGCGAAAGTGAAGGTAACTAGTACTGATAAATTGCTCGACAGCCTGCCCAGGAAAACGATGCGAAGGCTGAACTGTGCTCTGGTAAATTCAATGCGGCTTAGTGCCTTGATCCGAAGTGAAAACTACCAGCCAACACCACCACTGTCACATTAACGCCTACAATAGGCACGAAAATGGCAGGGATTGAAAAATTGAGAGAACGTGGGTGGGCTAATTACTAACCAAAAGGGAATCTTGTAAATTAGTTTGATCATTATTATAGGAAAAGAGGCTATAGGCAAATTGCTAAAGGTTGGAGAGATAAAAGGTAGGAAACCCCCTCACGACTACACATAATCCGTCAAAGTAACAGCACAACAGCGCAGTGATTCATGCATACGAATTGTGAAATAATTTATTTGTTGAATTTGTGACATTTTCTAACAATCGAAATACTTTACTAAATACGTTACGGTAATGAAAATATAAAAATATTCTTACCAGACATCACTGCTGTCTCGTCAGATGTACCTAACGTAATCTTTTTTACTGCGTTAGTATTTTTATCAACCCATATAACGCCATTCCTTTTGGGATCAAACGCCATTCCTACAGGAGCATTATCTGGTCTAATTTCAATAGTATGTATAGCTTTTGTTTCTTTGTCAACCTGGTACAGCCCTTCATGAACTTCGTCCAGTACAACAAAATAATTCTCATTCAAAACAGCTGCGAAAAAATACTGAATTGTTATTCAAGTTAGTAAATCACAAAAATTAATTAGAAATATCATAATGGAAAAAAATACACGCTAAGTGAAATAACATATGCGTAATTATATATTTTTTTCTTTCTGTCTCAATGTAAAGCAAACCTGTTGCCGTATATTCTAATAGGCCTAAAAAGTACAACTAAACTGGAAACAAGTTCTTTACCTGACCGACATGACTTGTTGTCACCGTTAAGAAAATATCCAAGAAAACAAGCACATTTTCCTTCACTCCCTGGAAGACATACATGTTCACAATCCCCATTGTTTATTTCGCACGACTCTGTAAAATCAGAAAGACAAATTCATTGTCAATTTTTTGTATTCCGTATTTTTACCTGCCCCGTTATTACTTTTTTTCGTTAATTGAGGAGAGATGTGACACTGATAAACTAATCCCAACAGTTTTTAGAATCTATAGTTAAAATAATGAGAATGAAGACAAATAAGGTAAGGGCAAAGTTCACAGGACGCAGTCTCCAACACACACCCAGCTACAACAGCTGGGCGCCCAGAAGGCAACAAACAAGAACTGGGAGAAAACACAAGGCAGGCGACAGGAGATAAAAAGGCATTGAGCAGAAATACAATTTCGGCGGCGAAAGATGGGAAGGGAAATGCAATAAGCAGAAACACAATTTCTGCATATAAAAGTCAAACAAAAAATACTTACTGTACTACTCTAAAATACAAGCTGATAATGACTGTGAAAACTTTTATAAGGAAAAGATAAGTTCGAGATAATATACGACCATACCAAGATCAAATGGTTGCAATGCTGATTCATAAACATGTACATCTTCAACAAAGCCGTCATACGCTTTGTGTAAGTTCACACTAAACCTTTGTTCATCTAGTTCGTAGACTATATCAAACTGTCTGTCTTCTTCTGTTGACGATATAATAAAATTCTGAAATATTTGCATTAGTGTGAATTGGTCAATAATGAATGCTCTGTAAAGTCATATAATAACTAATTGTCATACAAGGATTTTGTATCATATCTGACAGCGAATCATTAGAGAAATGTACAATTGCATTGATGTTTTTGGAAATATGTGAGATACATGATCTGGTAAGACATAATCTATATAATTTTATATATCTAAAGTCAGTAAAATATTTCAGAACAAGATATTATTGTGCCTGTGTTGATACCAAATCATTTTTGTTTTACGAATAACCATTTTAGATATTTCTATTCTTATCAATATTTGAATACTTAGTGACAATTTGCAAATTGCAGAACAATCCACTTTTAATATTTTTGAAATGATGTATTTTCAACAATTTCCCATAATTTCCTAATAAATGACGGAAAAACATATAATACAATGTTGATATGAAAGTTATCAAACTAACATAAAATTGTGAAATGGCCATTTAATAATAAATGACATATAAACATATAAAACAATGCTGATGGCCATTTAATAATAAATGACGGAAAAACATATAATACAATGTTGATATGAAAGTTATCAAACTAACATAAAATTGTGAAATGGCCATTTAATAATAAATGACATATAAACATATAAAACAATGCTGATATGAAAGTTATAATATAACATAAAATTGTATACAAAGCAAGCAAACATTTCTGAAAAATGTATATAAAATTTTATACACACATATCCCGAAAAATTATCAAAGGTTGGGTTCTAAGAATATTGCCTTGCCTAAAACTGTGTATGAAATTAATATACACACATATCTTGAAGTGAAAAAAAAATCATTTGTATATAAAATTATAAAAAAAACACAAAACCTTTTGATGTTTATAAGCTTGTCAAAAATTGAATACTGAATGTGGGTGGGATGGTGGGTTATTGAAAATTGTTATGAATTATTTCTTCTTCTAAAATGGCGGACTTAATCAGCATCAATTATCACATTGTACTTACTCATAACAATAACCTTAGTGTACTTACTAGTACGGCTTTTTCGAACCCAATATCTTTCGACCTATGACTAAAGACCTAATGAAACCCACCATCAAACTTGTAAGTGACCATAAAAACATTTATTTTGCAATAAATTAAGTTTTATGTCAACATTTCAATTTGTTGTATCTTTGCCTGAAGAAGTTTTCTCTGTTTGATAATTTTCAAGAATAACAACTACACTTTGAAATTGAAATGGCCATTTAATAATAAATGACGGAAAAACATATAATACAATGTTGATATGAAAGTTATCAAACTAACATAAAATTGTGAAATGGCCATTTAATAATAAATGACATATAAACATATAAAACAATGCTGATATGAAAGTTATAATATAACATAAAATTGTATACAAAGCAAGCAAACATTTCTGAAAAATGTATATAAAATTATATACACACATATCCCGAAAAATTATCAAAGGTTGGGTTCTAAGAATATTGCCACAAATTGTGTAAAACACAATTCCCCCAACCAAAACTTCTTTAATGAAATTGACTAGTCATGTAAAAGGGGACAAACAAAATTATTCTTTAAATGTTTGAAACAATGCTAATGAAATAAACAAGAATATTAAAAATATGTACATCACAAGATGATAACTAAACTACCTAATATAAGACAACATTTTTATTGGCACTACGGATTTAATTGACTGTATGTGTTAGAAGGTACCTTGTATGTCAGAGGCCCTTGTCCCCATGACATAAAGTAAACTTGTGACTGAAATAAATGTTGTCTTTATTTAGATTACCTTTTTAGAGTAAAGGTGTATACTGATATCACCATATGTGTAATATCCAAGTAGATCTTAAATTGATACAAATTAAAATATAACCATGCTGGCATCTTAACCTAAGACATGAAGTTTTAATTTACCTTAACACAAAGGAATAATCATGAATTTAAAATTGAACATTATGTACATAACAAGAGATATACAAATTCTAATATCGTAATATGAACATATAACATATTATTGGCACAAACTTACAAGTGAGTGTCTGTGTTTGAAAACAAGTTTTTGTCAGAGGCCCGTGTCCCCATGACAGAAAGTGATGTTGTGATTGTAATAATTGCCGCCATTCCTTGAAAAATACATAAAAAAGGATTATGTGCATTCTGATGCAAAGATATTAAAGATTGAAAAGAAAAAATGTTAAATAGCAAACTCCAGGTACTTCAAATTGGCACAATGGTTTAACAAATATATATTTGTAAGAATTATAGTTCTTAATTGTAAATTTATTTATTATAATCACATAATTTTCATAGTTTGATTGTTTCGATAGTATTTACTATTTAAAACATTGTTTGACTCATTCAATTTAACATAGCTTCACTATTTCCGCCAAACGTTACGTCTTATTTGTTTCCCGTAAAAAGACGTCATTAAATTGTTTTACGGTGACGTCATTAACCGTTACTTTGATATGTTGTTTTGCCTTGGGCGGAAGTGCTTAAATTGTTGATGTGTTTTGTTTATTGATGTTTTCCAATGGAAAGTAGATCATAATCGGTAAGCAAGTTATTAATAATGTATGAATTTTAAATAGTAAATTCAATATTGTTTAAATGATGATGAACTTTACAATATTTGCCGTGAATTAAATTATAAACGGAATTATTCGCGGAAATATAAAATAACAATATTATTTTAATAGATTAAGTCTATAATTGTAAAGGTGATATCGTATATTTATGATTTGTATTAGCATTATTATTTTAGACAATTTATTGTATTTTATTTAAATGCGTTGTAATCAGTATTTAGTTTGTTTATTTATTATTTTTCAGAGAATCGCATTGTTGTATCACATTGATATATTATTCCATGAATGAGAATAAAGAAAAGTGTTGAAATCTGCGCATTCTTGACTATTTTAACGGAAAACATTTACAATTCTCGATTCTGCTGTGACGAAAATGCCGTCAACAAATAGTGCGGAAACTTTGAATCAGGAGTTTGTCAGTGTGAAGAGATCAAGAAGTGCAAATGGCGCTCAACTGACGAAACTATACAATGAACTTGAAAAGAGCATGATGTCCTACAATAATATTGAAGAGGTTAAACTACTGAAGAATAAATTATGTGAACGCTTTGAACATTTCAAATCAGTGCATTTACAATGTTTTAGATTTGTGCGCGCAACCGGAAGTTGTTGCAGACTTGGAAGCGAACTTTGAGAGCTGTTTAAAGAACTTTGAAGAATTCAGGGAAAGATTTTCTCAGTGGATCGCGGGAGCTATTGGACCGCAAGATGGAGAAAATATTCCTATAGAAAATGACGAAGAGTCAAATGTCAGCCATGGAAGTTCACGTACTTCAGTCTCGTCGCGCCGGAAATTACAAAGTGCTAAAGCAAAGCGTTTAATAGCAGAACACAAATTAAAACAACTTAAAAAGAAACAAGAACTTGAACGAGCTCGCCGGGATCTTGAAATGAAACAACAGTTACTAGATTAGCAGTCGAAATTAGAAGAAGCAGAGATAGAAGAAATGGTGTGGTTAGAAACGACACAGGAAGAAACCGGGGTCATATCTAACAATCAAAATGCTCAGCCTGACGTACAAAATAATATGACTAATCATATTCAGGTGAACAACCGTACAGATTCTGTGAGAAATATAACTTTGACACAGCCCAGACCGGAAATAAACAGATCGTGTATACCGGAAGTTGACAGTGAGACATCGAACATTGACAGATCATTTCAAAGATTGGCGTCAGCACTTCATGAAGGATTCAACTTACCGAAGCCAGAACTATTGACATTTGATGGGAAGCCTGAAGGATACTGCAAATTTATCAAAAACTTTGAAACAAACATTGAAAGCAGAATAAGTGACAATAATTTAAAGCTAAGTTATCTCATTCAGTATTGTACAGGTAAGGCAAAATCTAGTATAGAAAGATTGTGTTTTGTTAGAACCGGAAGAAGGTTATAAACGTGCTAGGTCAATATTATTGTCTAGATTTGGCAGACCACATTTAATTGCAAGGTCTTACATTGATAACTTGGTAAATGGTGCTCAGATTAAAGCGTCCGATGTTGAAGGGCTATCTAAATTATCTTTAGAGATGCAGAAATGTGAAATTACACTTTCTCAGTTAGGATTTTCCTCTGATATTGATAATACAGAAAATTTAAGATGCATTGTTAGGCGGCTCCCAACACATATAAGGTAAAATGGGTAGAAGTAGCACATTATATAAATGAGTCAGGTAGAGTGCCGCGCTTTTCAGATTTGTCTAAATTTGTAGACGAAAAATCACGTATCGCTAACTCCATGTATAGCTATGATCTTTGTAAAAACAATGATTTTTATCAAGAAAGAAACCAGAAACAGTTCTGGCAAATATTACAGTAATGATAGACCAAAGGTTACTACTCTAAATACACATACTGAAGAAAACGGTCATGAAAGTAGTAAATGCATTTGTTGTTCAGGTAACTGTGCAGAGTTATCACTGTGTAACAAGTTCAAGTCAATGAGTCTCAATGATCGTTATAAACTGGTAAGATCACTTAAATTGTGTTACAATTGTTTAAAAGGTAAACATTTTACAAACAAGTGTAGAAAACCAAAAATATGTAATGTTACTAATTGTAATGTAAAACACCACATTTTGTTACATAGTTGGGTAAAACCCGATAATGGCCACACAGCGGTCAAGTCGTCGTGTAACTGTGCAGCAACAGAAGGTTCTACTGTAAAAAATTGTCTGGGTATTATTCCTGTAATAGTTAGGGGTGGGGACGGTAGTTCTTGTCAGACATATGCCCTGCTAGATGATGGGGCCGATAAAACTTTATGTGATGAAAGATTGTTACGGGAGCCTGAATATAACCGGTAAGCCCGTCACATTCCGGATGTCTACGGCAAACTCACGTGAAGGTATTATACATGGTCAGGAGGCCGACTTAGATATTCAACCTATCGATGGAAATGAAAG